AATTATAAAGCAATGATGTCATGGCACACTGCCAAACTGAAAACATTTAAGAATGTAAATGCCTGAATTTAGGAAATCTAAAAAGGACAGCTGTGGATAAACTAAGCTATTTATATATTTTTAGGGAGTAAGCATACTTTTTTTAATGAATTTAACTGTGCATAAGAGTGAAAACTCTGGCTGAAAAAGAAAAACATTAGAGGCTGAGATTTATCATGAGAATGTGTGCTATTTTGAACTATTTTGCATCCTACAATAGCATGGATTCAAAACACCCTAAGGCAGTGCTGGCCCCCTCTTAAAAATGTCACATTTTAAGGTCAAAACTACAAATAATAACACTGGCTGAAATTCAAGGTTGCTTATCTTACATGTGAAGCCATTTTCTTGTTTTCCTCACTTTTAGCATGATGTTCCTATTGCCCTGCAGTTTTGCAGATTGCACACCATCTGTTGGATACCTTCATATCCACTGATCCAATAGAGATAAGTTGAATATTTTCCAGCCTTTATTTTATTTCTAAGATTTATTATTGGTATATTACCTGGGATTTCTCCTGAATGTGGGGATGTGGGATAAATGCAATGCAAACTGAGATAATTTTGCATTTAAAAAGCAACAGAGAAACTGAAATTTAGATATTCAAACTTTATGGTTTTCTGATATTACAATAAAAATGTATTTAGGAAAATATCTGTCTAAAAATACCTGTATTTCTTGAAAATAATGTCCAAACTCATAAAATTAGGGAGAAGGAAGGAAGGAAGGAAGGAAGGAAGGAAGGAAGGAAGGAAGGAAGGAAGGAAGGAAGACAGAAAAATGCCTAATCTAGCCTTAGAAAAGCATAATTATACTGCAAGTGCAAAATAATATTTCAATCGATCATTTTTAATTTGATTTTCTTCAGCCACTCTATATAGTATAAGGATAATTTTATTTCTATAGAATAATTTTATTTCTATACCGCCCTTCTCCCGAAGGACTCAGGGCAGTGTACAGCCTATTTAAAAACACAAGACAAACATCAATTAAAATTTAAAATTATTAAATAAATTCGGCTCAATTTAAAACCCCAGAAATTTAAAATACCCCAATTTAAAATTATTATGTTGATAGCCCAGCCTGGCAGAACAACAGGGTCTTCAGTGCACAGCGAAATACCCGGAGGTCGGAGATCTTATGTATTTCCGGGGGCAGTTCATTCCACAGGGCTGGGGCTCCCACAGAGAAGGCCCTCCCCCTGGGTGTCGCCAGCTGACATAACTTGGCCGATGGCACCCTGAGGAGACCCTCTCTGTGGGAGCGAACTGGCCGGTGGGAGGCTATTGGTGGCAGAAGTCGATCTCAAAGGTACCCGGGTCCTATGCCATGGAGCGCTTTAAAGGTGGTGACCGACAAATTGAATTGCACCCGGAAGACCACTGAGAGACAGTGCAGCTCGCGCAGGAGGGGTGTCACGTGGGCACAACGAGTTGTGCCCATAACCACCCGTGCGGCCGCATTCGGGACCAGTTGGACCTCCGAGTGCTCTTCAAGGGGAGCCCCATGTGGAGAGCATTACAATAGTCCAGCCGGGAGGTTACAAGGGCATGAGTGACCGTGCGCAAGGCATCCCGGTCCAGAAAGGGCTGCAACTGGCGAATCAGGCGAACCTGATAAAAGGCCCCCCTGGCCACGGCTGTCATATGCTCTTCTAAAGACAGCCATGCATCCAGGAGGACACCCAGATTGTGAGCCCTCTCTGTGGGGGGCAAAGATTCACCCCCAATAGTCAGCGATGGCACCTGCTGACTATATCGGGACGCTGGCAGCCACAGCCACTTGGTCTTGGAAGGGTTGAGTCTGAGCCTGTTCCTCCCCATCCAGACCCGCACGGCTTCCAGGCAGTGAGACATCACATCAAGGGCATCGTTGGGGTGGTCTGGGGTGGAGATGTACAGCTGAGTATCATCAGCGTACAGATGACACTTCACCCCAAAACCACGGATAATCTCACCCAGCGGCTTCACATAAATGTTGAACAGAAGGGGCGAGAGGACCGACCCTTGCGACACTCCCCATGCGAGGTGCCTTGAGGTCGACCTCTGCCCCCCTGCCAACACAAACTGCGAGTGGTCGGAGAGGAAGGAGGAGAACCACTGCAAAACGGTGCCCCCTATTCCTACCCCCCTCAACCGCTGCAGCATGATACCATGGTCGATGGTATCAAAAGCTGCTGAGAAATCTAATAGGACTAGGACAGAGGAGCAACCCCTGTCCCGAGCCCTCCAGAGATCATCCACCAACGCGACCAATACCGTTTCTGTGCTGTACCCCTGCCTGAAGCCCGACTGGCATGGGTCCAGATAGATAGCTTCATCCAGGTGTCGGGGAAGCTGTCGTGCCACCATGCTCTCAACAACCTTCGTCACAAAACGAAGGTTGGAGACCGGAAGGGAAGGCTTCTTGAGGAGGGGCCTCACTACCTCCTCTTTCAAGGTGGCAGGAAAGGCACCCTCACTCAGAGAAGCACTTATAATTCTCTGGAGCCAGCCTCGTGTAACCTCCCGGGAGGCCAGTACCAACCAGCAGGGTCCAATAAACACGTGGCGGAACTAATCTTACCCAGAACCCTGTCCACATCCTCGGGAGCCACAGGATCAAACTCCTACCAGATAATATTCTCAAGACCTACCCTCGTCTCCTCCCCTGGAGGAGTCATCCAATCAGAGTCCAAGCCATCCCGAATCCGAGCGACTTTATCATGTAGGAATTGCACAAAATCCTCAGCACGACCTTGCAATGATCTTCCTGCACTCCCCCCCCCCCCCCGAAGAAGGGAATGGGTCACCCTAAACAGGGCGGCTGGGTGGTTCTCTGCAGATGCGATAAGAGTGGAAAAATAGTTAGATTTTGCCGCTTTTATCGCCACTAGGTAGGTCTTGATATAAGACCTCACCTGTGTCCGGTCGGAATCGGATTGACTAGTCCTCCAAGTGCTCTCTAGGCGTCTTTTCTGATGCTTCATCTCTCTCAGCTCCTCAGAGAACCAAGGAGCTAATTGAGATCGGCATCGGGTCAGAGGCCGCAAAGGCACGACGCGATCCAAAGCTCCGACAGCGTCACTCTCCCAGGTGGGCACCAGCTCTTCAGTCGAGTCGTGTGTCAGAGTCTCAGGAAATGGCCCAAGCTCTGTCAGGAACCTTTTGGGATCCATCAGGTGCCTGGGACGGAACCATCTGGTCGGTTCCGTCTCCTTGCGGTGGGGGGAAGTGGTAGGAAAGTCCAAATGAAGGAGCAAATGATCTGTCCATGACAAGGGTTTAATATCTAGGTCCCCTCTACCAAGATCATTCAACCACTGACCAGAGACAAAAATCAAGTCCAGAGTGTGTCCCCCTATGTGAGTGGGGCCTTGAACTAACTGGGTCAGGTCCATGGCCGTCATGGAAGCCATGAAGTCCCGAGCCACCTCTGATACCTCACCCGCAGATGGAAGGTTGAAATCCCCCATGACAATAAGTCTGGGGGTATCAACCGCCAGCCCGGCAATGACATCGAGTAGCTCGGGCAGGGTCGCTGCCACGTGGCAGGGAGCCAGGTACGTAGTCAGCAAACCCAACTGCACCCCACAGCCCCACTTCACAAAAAGGGACTCACATCTGGCTATCTAAGGAACAGTGGTCTCCCTCGGACAAAGACTTTCCCTAATAATCACCGCCACTCCCCCACCCCTCCCCTGGGCCCTTGGCTGATGAAATGCATGGAAACCTTGTGGGCACATTTCAACAAGGGGTACCCCCCCCTTGGCTCAGCCAGGTCTCCATAATACCTGCCAGGTCCGCACCCCCCTCCAAAATAAGATCACAAATGAGGAGGGCTTTATTAACAACCGACCTATGTATATATTGTTTGTCAACACTTCAATTAGTTTTTTTCTGGCAAAGGGATAAGGAACAGAGGACGTTCAAACAATTTACAATGAATTGTTTATGAGACACAATTTGCAGCTTTTCATTCTTTTTTTTGATCCTTTAATTAATTTAATTGAATTTTACAGTAGATTGCCATCTTCAGTAGATAGGTTGCCATATCGATTGTTAGCATTTCTCTGGTTGGTATGGTATAATGAAATTTTAAAAATTATAAAGGCACAATTCTCTGTCTTTTTGGATGAATAAAGAATAATACGTCTTTGGATTGGCTTTGCATATATAAAATGTGTTTTGTAGAGATACCTACACAAAAAGAGAAAATATCCAAGATAGTGGCAAACTGTCTGCACTCTTCTCTCACATCTCCCACTGTCCTTTGTGTACACTCTTATTTCTAACACATCCACCCAGGAAACAGTGGCATAATTGCCAAACAGTGGCCATGAGATTTGATTGGTAAAGAAAAGAGGTGAGGGACAAACATTTAGGGAAACTGAAGAAGAAACACTTGCGGATAATGCAGGGGTTAAGTGTAAATTAAAATTAAGAATAACAGAATAACAGAATTGGAAGGGGCTTTGGACATCTTCCTATACCATTTTAGACAAATGGTTGTCCAGGTTCTTCTTAAAAAATCTCCAGTGTTGTAACACCCATAACTTTGGGAGAAGAAGAAGTTGAAGTTATTCTCTCTCTGAAAAGAGAGAGAATAAGCCGAAAAACAAAGTAAAGTAGACTCCTATAGAAATTAAATACACAGAAATAGATGGCCGTAGGAATAGGAACGCAGAACAGGCATTAGAAATGTTTAAATTAAAAACTTGGAGCATGATAAAAGATTTAAAATAAAAGGTGCACAGCAAATTCAGTAAGACTTCTGGAAATAATAAGAAATCACAACTTCCATTGTTGAACAATAATGTAATTTTGCATATTATTTACTTTTGTAATAATGACTTTGTTCAACAACAAAGCATCTGCAAGTGGCCTAAGTCCATTCCAACAAACATTATCCTGTCCATTTTTGTTGCTGATTTTAATTATCATTTTTGATGACGAGTTCTTCGAAACATGCAACAACAATAAAAGTAATAATACTTTTTACTGTTCAGTCCACATTCACACAAATTCAGTAATTTCATATTTTGCATAATTATGCACATGATGTTTTCACTCTAGTTCTGTTAATTTGCATCATTATGTAATGATGCAAATGATATAAATTGACATGCATGACCGAAAAGCCTCCAGGTCCAACTCAAAGTGCTGGTTGTCACCTTTGAAACTCTTTGCGACAGCAGCTCAAAGCTGTCTTGCCATCCTGTCATATGGTCTTGGAGACATACACACGGTTGTTATCTGGCAGCATAACCTGTGAGAAGAAGAGAAAACACACTTTATCAAAGACAGAAATTTTATCATAAGAAATGGAAGAGCTGCTACATTGCTGGTGGGGCAAGTTATGCAGAGGAAACAGCTGCAGGCTTAAAGACTTAAAGTAATTTTAGGAAGGACAATACATGGCTGATGAACCTGAGGTAAATTCAGAAGTTTTGTGCACTGTTGGAGACTGGCTGGTTTCTGGATTAATTTTGGAGAAACCACTTAAGAATTGCAGGTTCAGCAACTACCCAAAGATCAGAAACAGAAGGATGGACACTGAGGAGTTTTATACCCAACATAATGGCTTTGGTGGGAAGCTGAAGAGAAAGAACATATCTTGCCAGCCCAGGAGAAAATGCTAGCACATGTAATTACTCCCCTTAGTTAATACTAAATAGGAAGCTACCATTAACAATGCACTTATTTGGTCAATACTGCATACATATCCAACAAAAACAAGTTACCTTTAAAATGCTTTAATAGACACACATATAACAACTCTGGTTTATTATTTTATTGCTAATTACCAGGAAGCAGGAGAGTGGAAGAAAAACCCTACTTGGTTACTATTTTTTAAAAATGTATTTGCCTTATTTTGTTAATAAAAAGAAATGGGGGGGGATCACAAATATGTTCTGTATATTAGCTTGCTTTCAAATCAACACTGGTGAATCCAACAGCCATTATGTCACCATTCATGCCTTGACTCCTTGAAGTCCACAACACTATCTCTCTCATCAAGAACTGAGTGCTGTGTAAACCATAGAAACAGATGATAACTAGGTGACAGATAATAGAAGAGAGGGAGGGAGGGAGGGAGAGAGAGAGAAAGAGAGAAATATGATTAGCTAAACTGGTTTGGAAACAATGGTTTGCTTGCCTTCAGCTGCATAATTTAATTCTTTTCAGCTGCATGACTGTTAGATCAACTGGAAAAGAAACTTTTTATTTCTCTTTTACTTTAGAGTACAGCTGCTGAGCACAGCTGTGTGCTTTGCCATTTCTTGAGCCCAAAGAGAGCTTATAGTGTTCAGTCTCTCCGGAACTAGCACAATATCACCAGAAAATCCTTACTATGTTGGGTTATGCATGACCTGGCAATCCATGCTCATCAAACATACAAAGGCACCCTATCAAATGTAATGGCTCTCCCATTGCAGACATCATCACAGAAGTAAGGATGAAACACTACCACACGTTTTTAATCAAACCATCTACCAAACTAATATGAAGATCAGAACTAAATTATGCCGCAGAAGCTATGCTTCAAACAGTGAAGAAAAATAAATGATCACAGATGAATAATAAATTTGAGGGGAAATTTCAATGCAATCAGTATATCAAGATAACATTTAACGAAGAAGTGTTCTGAGTATAACTTCTAATACTTAAAATGTACCAATTGACTTGATATAATGTAAATCTCCAAACCGTTAATAAATTGGATACTGGACATTTATTATGAGAAAGGCATGGTTCCAATGTCCATATATCAGTCCTTTGCTGTAGCACGTGTGCCTCTATTCTTCACCTTTTATTCAAGGACATCTATTTCTGCTGTTCATCCTTCAAGTGCTAAATGGAATTAATGTACCTCATAATTAACCTCTTAATGGCTGTTTTCAGACCCAACCTGCCTCACTTGGGTAACATGTTCCTAAACAGTTTGCAGATATTACTGACAGAGCAAACAACTGTGTGACTTTCTAAAGAAAAAAATTACATGTGTAATAAACCATTTTTAGAAAAGTAATGACAACTAAACAAAAATGTTTAATGTATGCTGGTGTATATCTTAAATTAAAACAAGAGAAGATCTGGAATCAGAGTGTTATATGCTATATGCTAGGTTTTCCTATATTCAACTGAAGGAAAGATTTAAAGTTGATAAGAAGAACTATGACTTTGAAAATGGTGAGATTGAATTTGGTGTGGAATTATGTACAAATGATGAACATATTACTGTTAAGGTGTTTAAACTTTATTGAAAATGGAAATGGAAGATGAACAAGTTAAAAACTGTACGAAAAGATAGGCAAAAATCCTTGGATATAACTTTGGACCAATGGGAGAATATGCAGAAGAAAGGATTGAAATTCACACTGAATTAAAACTTTAAAAATATTTTTTATAAAATGATGTATTGCTGGTATTTGACACAGGATAAACTGTCAAAAATGAATGACTTTGGAATTTCAAGAAGGCACATTCACCCACTCACCTTTTTAATTTCCTAACCTTTGGAAGGTTTCCAACATGGTCCATGACTGTCTGATCTCCAATTCTCCACCTCTTCCAAATGTGCAGAACTTTGATTGAGCCAACCAGCATAACATCTAGCTAGTTAATGTGTAATGAGTGTCTTGCCTGATCATGCAGACTGTTGCTAATGTGTTTAATCCTGTCCTCCCATCAGTTCTTTGTCTACACAATCGGTCTTATTCCTGGAGTCCAGATTTCTGCAAATGTCTGCAAATTTCTGCAAATGTTCTCCAACCAATGTCTCATGCAAAATAATTGAAAAATCTTTCGGAAGATTTATACATCCTTCCTCCTTCCCTGCCAGGGGTTCTGTTATTCAAAAAACAGCTCCATATAGGATTGGCTCATATAGGCCATAAGTATTTGATATCACTATTCAAAGGATAATTCTCTTCTGAACTCTTAATATAACCACACACATACACACACACCCCTAAAAAACATTTTTGGTAAACTGGACTTCAGAGGAGCTTGTAGTTTAATTTGTATGAAAAAGGTTTAGGAATATTTAACTCTCTTTGATTGTCATGATGAAAAGCTTGATTATATAGTGAAGTCCTTAGAATTGGATAATACCTCATTGCTCTTTCAAAGATATATGAATCACATTTTAATGATATTCTGGGACAGGCTTTTGATTGTGGATGCGGATGATTTGCAGTTTTATTCTGTGGATCCTGTCCCCCACACTAATCAAGTAAGAGCAATCACTGAATGCCATTGTGAATTATCTAAGTTAGAAACCTGCCTGTTTTGTATTACTGAACCTCAGGAATGTATGTGGCTCCAATTAAAATAGAATCCACTCTGTTGTGGAAGCACCTCGATTTGCAACATCATGCATTATGAAGTATATAGTAAAAGTGGGGATCGTGGACCAAGGATCATATCATCTATTTTTAGAAAACATTTCTTGAAAGCTACAATTAAAGAAAAGCAGGTTCCTGCAAATAAGGTATTGTGTAATTGTGTGGAAGGCAGTCATCAGACCAGGTCCCTTCTGAAACATACATCATCATCATCATGTGGTCAATAATGGATAGTGCATGTCTCTCTTCCATGAGGACTACAGGTTTAAAGTCATGATCAACTCAAGGGTCAGGGTTCATATCCAATTTTCAGCCAAGGGAGCCTTTGTTTTGTGATGGGGCCAGCATGTTTCTCAGGAGCCAGCATGAAAATACAGAACATGGTAACCTGTTTGGCTGGCAGACTCCACGAGAAGAGCCTTCTCTGCCTGGCTCCTGCCCTCTGGAATATCTTACCCCCTGAGGTGAGATTGGCTCCCTATCTAACAAAATGAAATTCAATGGTGAAAAAAGTAAGGTTCTACATTTAGGCAAGAAAAACAAAATGCACAGGTACAGTATATGTGATACCTCACTCAATAGTAGTAACTGTGAGAGGGATCTTGGAGTCCTAGTGGACAACCATTTAAATATGAGCCAGCAATGAGCAGCAGCTGCCAAAAAAGTCAACACAGTTCTAGGCTGCATAAACAGAGGAATAGAATCAAGATCACGTGAAGTGTTAATACCACTTTATAATGCCTTGGTAAGGCCACACTTGGAATATTGCATTCAGTTTTGGTCACCACGATGTAAAAAAGATATGGAGACTCTAGAGTTAGTGCAGAGAACAGCAACAAAGATGCTTAGGCTAAAACATATGAAGAATGGTTGCAGGAACTGGGTATGTCTAGTTTAATGAAAAGAAGGACTAGGGGAGACATGATAGCAGTGTTCCAATATCTCAGGGGCCACAAAGAAGAGGGAGTCAAGCTATTCTCCAAAGCACCTGAGGGTAGAACAAGAAGCAATGGGTGGAAACTAATAAAGGAGAGAAGCAACTTAGAACTAAGGAGAAATTTCATGACAGTTAGAACAACTTGCCTCCAGAAGTTGTGAATGCTCCAACACTGGAAGTTTTTAAGAAGATATTGGATAACCATTTGTCTGAAATGGTGTAGGGTTTCCTGCCTAGACAGGGGGTTGGACTAGAAAACCTCCAAGGTCCCTTCCAACTCTGTTATTCGATTCGATTTCTCTTGGCATTTTGAAAGAGCCGCATGACCTGGCTCTGCCAAATGGCTTGGAGACCCAATGGGGGAGCTTCATCCTGGAGGTGGTTAACTAAAACTTAATCCCACTTCTCCACACACACACACACACACACACACACATGTGTTGGACTCCCTTCTTTTCCATCTGGTGTTAATGGTTTGTACTTGTAAATGATTTTTATCCACTGTATTCTATGATTGTTGTTATGAATGTTTTTAATGCCTTCATTTTTTATGCAGTAAGCTGCCCAGATCATTGGATATGAGATGGATGGCAAATAAATTTCCTAAATCAATCAAAAAAATCAATCAATCAACCTTTCCCACAGAAGCGGTACCTATTTATCTACTTGCATGTGCATGCTTTCAACATGCTAGTTTGGCAGGAGGGGCGAGTCATGGGATCTCACACCATCATGTGTGTTTGGGTCATGAATCTGGGCTGTAGGCTTTCCAGCTGACAAGCTCCAGCGTCTTAACCACTGAACCATCGCACCGTCCCCATGAGGACTAGACCCTTGTAAAGCATGCTAAATTAGTTACTACACAGGAAAAAAAGACATGCCAATACAGTTTAAATTTAAACTGCATCTCTTGATAAATTACATTAGCAGGTGATCCAGATTAGTTTTATAAACAATAAAATAGATTAGTGCAAAGAATTGGAAAATGGTACTTTACAACATGTGGTTGTTATAAGCCAAAGAAAATATTCCTCAGGAGTTGCCAGATGTTTCAGAAAGACCAGTGCAGCTGCTCTGAAGACTTTCCCAAGCAATCTCTAGGTGGGTGGCCACGGCCCCTTTGCTTTGCATGGAGTCTCAGCAAATGTTTGGAATTATTCTTCAAAGCAGCCATGCAGGATGGCTGAGACCAGGATGCAGCTGCTTTAATTCTTTGGGAAGGGGTTCTGCTGTTGGCCATTGTTCCGCACAGCTCTGTTGCCTAGGTAGCTTATCAATGCCAGCAGAATTTTGCCTGATCTTACGGTACTTTATTGAATGCAAAGAAAGAAAACGTAACTTGAAAACAAGCAATAAGGAGTTTTTTTCTTTTCCTTTTCATGAAGAAAAAAGGGATTTATTGAGAAAGTTCAAAATATGTCTCCTACTTGACAGAAGTCCTTTGGGGCATTTGCTCTCAGCTTAATCTACATTGCAAATGTTGCTGCTTGACACACCTCCAATGTGCAGGTGACCTTGACTTTGACATTCAGGATGGTCAAAAAGGCTGATTTGAATAGAGCTAAGATACTAATCACAGAAGTATAAAGACAGCAGCACTCTCTGCCCAGTTCTTGTTTTTTATTCCTTATGATAAATACCTTCATCGCTGAAGGAATAATTAAAAGCAGCTTTACTAAACCAACTATACCTGCACGATGATCAAAGCAATGTAAATAATGTCCAATTGTATTCCTTTTGGCAAAGCTTTGAAGCTTTGGAAGTAACAAGGCGATTTGAAATGTGAGAATAGGCATGGTTGGATGCTATTTTCCCACAAAAACTTGTACATTCAGCTCTACCCTCCTTTTCTTCAGAATTCCAGGATAGAAATTCTGACATTTAATCTGAGGAAGCAGCTGCTCTCAGTTTGTTTAAATGCTCCTCTTAACATTCATAATGTATAGTCATAAAACACACAGATGTTCTTGCAGATAGCATTCCATTTATTCTTTTAGTATAACATTTAATAGTTTCCCAACAGTGACATGAAACTCTGGGATTATCTACTCTGTTTAGTTGCCCCATCACCAGAATAGGTACGCCACTGTTTTCAGAGGACAGAAATGAATGTTGCCCTTGATTTAAACCTCATTTACTGTCAACATGTTTTTCTGTTTGGTTTCTGAAGTATGCTTCTCCATAATGTCGCCTTGAGGCTCCTGATCATTTCGGAAAGTATATTTCCGTTTGCTGCAGGTAAGCCCCAGCAATTCATTTGCTGCTTTGCAGAGGAAAGATTGTCCCATCAACTGAGATATTGTTTGCTGAGCTGTCTAATACCTTTAAAACTGCTTGTTGTGATGAATGGTATAATAACACAGTCCTGCATTACAAACTGGAGCTTCCTGGTTCTAAATCTAGTAGATAGGTGTGTTCTTTATCAATTACTTTTTAACATTGTCTTGAGTTTCATACTGTTCGCCATGCATTTAAAAAACATCCAGTGGTGCACAATCCCCATCATATTAAAGTTCTATAACTAAAAAATATTTTCATCTCTATTTCCCTTTTAGAAGAAGAAGCACCTTCCCTTTGAAGAAAGTGGGGAAGTTCATCTTCTATTAGTGATGATTATTAGTGGACTCAAAACAGATTTTTTCCTCTCAAACTGAAGGAAGATCTAGAATTTTGGGGGGGGAGGAAATGTTCACATGCATGACCTTAATTGTTGAATTGTTCGCTGCCTCTTGCAGCTGCTACTCCTCGTTGCCTTCTGTTTCATTTAACTATTGCTTTAGAAATAGATTGTTGGCTGTGACCATGCAGCAGGATTCCTCAGAGCCAGATGCTCCCAGAATGATGCTACATTATGAGGTAACATTGTCCTCAGATCTTACTTCACTCAGCAGGCTTTTTAGGGCCTTCCAAGAGACCATTGTTAACATGAGAGGATTTTCAGTGCCCCATTAAGTTATAAACTGTAACTGTGGCCAGGAGGATAGTAAGACAACCAAGGGGGAAAAAAACCCACAAGGAACTATCTCCTCAGAGAGACTTGGTCTTATCTGTAAAGGCGAAGGAACCAAAGGCTGCAGATCAGTACTCTATTAAGAATGCAGCTGGGAAAGAAAATCCAATATGTTGCAAAGTTCATGCATTGCTACCTGTTCTTGGTCCGTAGGGCTTAGTAGGTATGTTAGAATAGTAAGACTTCCCTTTCTTAGTACCAAATAACAAGAGTACATTCAATATGCAACATGTTGTACCCAATACTTTTTGATTCTCATTTTCCACTGGTGTAAAAAAAATCTATGACTTGATTTGTATCAAACCCATCATATACTGGAGGAAGAAAGTTAATGCTTATCTTCAACCAGTGTGGAATATTAGTTATGATGTCAAAGAAGACTAAGTGAGGACTGGATTCAAGTCCACCTTTTAATCATGGAAGCTCACTGGATGGATTTGAATTACTCTCTGTCCATGCTACTTCACGGGGAACTTTTTAAGGTGATAAATTGGAGTAGAGACCATTCTGGATGCTCAAGCATCCACCTTGAGCTTCTGCATCAAATAAAGAAATAAATATCTCGTGGTCTGCCTATAATTAACTTTAAAACATCTACTGGCATCAGATTACATTTATTTATTAGATTTGTAGCTGCCTTTATTATTTTTACAAATATTTCCAGGTGGCGAACATATCCAACATACATTCTCCTATTGTCACGACAACAACCCTGTGAGATGGGTTGGGTTAAGAGAGAGTGATTGTTTTGTTTTCTGTCTTCTAATAATTTACAGTGTGACATTTTAAATGAATTCCTGGTCTCTGATTATGAAAAGGGTTATCATGCCCTCTTGAAATCTTTCATTCCCCAGGCTAAACATGCCTAATCATTCCTCATAAATTTGTCCTTCCACGTGTTTTTCTCTACCATCCCCCAGTATTGTTTACGCCCTTTTATAACTGGTTCTATTGGCTCAAGCTATATTCATACAGTGGGAGTTGGTAAAATACACATAGATACAACCCTGAGCCAGGTCTCGCAGATAGCCAAGAAACACAAAGACAGACTTATATCTGCCTCAGGGAAAGGCAGGAAACTCACATCTTTCTGCAATATGTTCCTTTCCCATCCCCACCCCAGAAAAACTGGACAAGCATACTTATGTTAAAATCAGAAAACTTCACCTAAAAGTAGCACTTGAAATAAGTGCAGGCTTATATAAGAAGTGACGGGCATGAAAACCATGCCTGTCATGACACTTACCTCTGTATTTTATTGCATTCTACAGCTCTGTGATTTATTTTGAAACTGATGAAAGAATAGCATCCTTGTCTAAGCACCAGAATGCTGCATTTCAGGGCTTCATTGGCCGTGTATAACAATTCATCATTATTTCTTTCATCAAGCTGTTTTACATAGGCATTGATCAGGAAATCTATCATCCCCAATTGATCAGGAAATCGATCATTTCTAATAATATGCTCAGAAACAGTTCGTAGATGTCCAGAATTTTGTGCAGCTTGTTATAATGAAAAGAAACAGTGTATGTGGAGTTAAGATTCCATGATCAGTGATCTGACGTACATTTCGATGAGCTGTCAAGCTCTCACACTTTAGTCATTTCCCCAGTATCTATTTAAAGCACATTCTGCAGTTATCCAACCATTGTTGAACCAAAATAACAATATATAGGATGAAAAATCTGATCAAAGCATATCGGTGTATCAAACTATTCTTTTTTTAAAAATCATAAGTAAAATAAAAGAAACATGTTTGAGTTCTCTGTAATCACTTTTCTTCAGACCAAATAATATTATACTATTATTATAAAATACAGACTCTCTTTAGTTGTGCACACTAAATTCAATAACATGCCTCTGGTTATCTCAATGAGCTTTTCAGCCAGTGCTGATGGGAAGAGTAAACCCTGAGCAGACAAGAACTGTTTACCTTTGACTGCAGAATGTTTGGTCTGGAGTACAGCCTGAGCTCCTTCATCACTTGCTCTTCCATCTTTTGCTAAATTTCTTGTAAACTGAATCTCATTCTTCTATCATTAAAGCCAAGATTTACAAAGCAACTTTGTGGAATATTTGGATTTGGAGTTTTTATGGTTTTTAAATCCTGCCTTGAGCCTTTCTTATTTGATAGCTTTATAAATATAATGCTGGTTTTGTTGTTATGGCTACCCAAAAGAAGTGAATTGTACCAAAAATACACATGGTTTTAAAAGTAGGTTCATAAGAAATATATTATCTATATTACTCCACATGTGTTGTGTTATCTGACTATGTTTAGATTGCAACAAGAACCTTTCATATATTTCCAGATGTTTGGATTGCTCAAACTGAGTACTGAAAAGCGTATTGAGAAATGTGGGGATGAATGAATTCATTCATTAAACTGGGAGATAAGTTACTGTACTTTGACAGCCTCTGTAAAGCTGAAAAATGTTAGCCTTGTACACACTCTATCAGAAGATAACTGCAAATTAGAAGAACTCAAAACCTAGCCTAAGCTAGAAATTGCATATCTGAGTACAGTCTCTTCCATTAAAGCACATCACTAAATCTTTGCCAACACAAACAACTTTCACAAAGAGCTTGGTGTTAAATAACTCATTCTGACTTGTTGAGTCTGGAGGGAATTTTACAGCAATACGTTAGTTGTGGAAAGCCAAAAGACCCCTTGGCACATTTAAACATCATTTAAAAAGCAGTCTAAGTAGCAGTTGAGACTTCAGAAGTCTTAGTAAAAGAAGTTATGGAAGGAAAAAAAATGTTATCACCTTCTCTTCCACTTGATACTCTATGTCAAGGGTTCCCAAACTTTTCAGCATATGCTTTATTCTGACTTTTAAGAAAACCTCTTACCTTCCCACATCTCACTGAAGCCAAACTCACCTCCCCCAATAGAATAATAATACTCAATTCATAATTAAAAATAAAAACACAAACACTTGATATACATTTGTATTTTTAATTTAAAATTCATGAGCAAGTTATAGGGTTGCCAGATCTCCACTATTTGAGCGGACATTCCACTTTTTTCACATTATGTTCACTATTTTTTTTTCAAAAAATAGTGAACATAATGTGAAAAAATAGTGGACATTTCAAAATTTCAAAAAATAGTGGACATTTTTTTTATTCAAAAGCTTTATGATGAAATGGTATGTAATCTAAAGCTGTACAGTCTAAGAGAATAAGGATAGGAGAATCGCATTTTGTCTTTTTTTTCATAAGTTAGAATGAGACAAAGATCGAATGCTCATTGCAATAATCACATTTTGCACAACAGCGCAAAAAATGCATTAAAGCAGTTATCTTTTGATATCAAAAATGTACTGCTGAAGGTTTTTGCCGAATTTTCGAATTCTGCGAAGAAACGAGAAGAGTTGAAATCATTTTTTGAGTTTTGCGAGTCAGAATTCCATGAAGTTTTGTGCCATGTTCCAACACGTTGGTTAAGTTTGTTTAAAGTGGTCGAAAGACTTCTTTTAAACTGGATACCTCTAAAATCGTATTTTATTTCTCTTGGATCTGATGAGTGCCATAAGGTTATCTGGAACCTTATTTCGGATCAGGAAATTGAACTCGCAAAGGACGATGAACCAACAATTTCAGAATGACTTCTTCATGTCAATAATGCAAGACACCCTACTGAAGCTGGAAAGCAAGAAAATTCTTGCATGTGATCTTCAGATTATCATGTGTAAGCTGCGTGATTCTTTGCAAAAAAAATACGATGAGCAGTTTTTTGGAATGAAAGTTTTATTTGCCTTACGTAAAAAACATTTGCCTAAGAATGCCGTGCAAAAGTTCAAGAAAGAAGCCATCAACATGTATCAAAGAGCCATTGCGTACCTAGAAAAGTGGTATAATTTCACCAATTCAATATATGAGATGCTAAGTTGTTTCAATCTAATTGATCGCAATAATCCTCCAACTTTAGAAGAAATAACGAACATCTGGTTATTATCACCATGGCGAGAAGAACTTCCACCCAACACTCTCTTCGATGAAATTTCTGCCTTAGAAGAAGTTTATGTTCATCTGCAGGGCGATTCATCCCTTGATAAGTGGACTTCCTTTTTCAAGAAAGAGCCAGCTCCGAGTTTACTGAAACTGTTCCAGTATTGTGCATCAATTCCGGTATCAAATGCAAATGTTGAACGAATTTTCAGCGTCATGGGAAATTTGTGGACTGATGAACGTAACCGACTGCTTGTATCAGTTCGAAGTAAACTTTGTATATTTTTTAATATTTCTCAACGATGTACTGAAATTAAAGAATTATTCCTTAAACACAAAAAATTGATCAAAGCTGCGCAGTCAAATAAAAAATACACACGACAGCAAAGTAAAATGTAATTTAATATTTTACATATTATTATAATATATTTGATGTTTTGAATTTTAAGTAAAGTTTTGAAGTGATTATTTTAATACGTGTTAAAATGTTTGTAAGAAAATATATAATTTAATTATATATTTTTTTTAATTTTTTTACTACTTAACCCCCCCCCCTTTTGTCCGCTATTTTTTGGAAGCAGACCTGGCAACCCTAAGCAAGTAACAAAAAACTATTAAAATGTAATTTGTCATAAAAACAACAGAAATAATCCCTGCAGTTTTTTTTATATGAAGAATGATGCTGCACTTTCCTCAGGAAAATCCCAGGTTTGATGGATGGAAGTAGGCAACACATATTTCACATATAGTTGATTCTTTTCAATTTTATCAAGAGTAAAAAGTTGGAAAGAGAGTCTGTTCTTTTGTAGTGATTAAATACATCTGGTTAGCCAATTGATCAATCCTGGGCCAATCACTCTCTCTTAGTCCTAGGAAAAAGGCAAGGGCAAACCACTTCTGTAAACCTTGCCAATAAACCTGCAAGGACTTCTCCAGCAACCACCTGGAATCAGAATTAAGGGATGCATATCTACAGTAAGTTGAAAAACCTTTTTCAGAGATATGTGAAAGAAATGAAAGAACAGTACATAGTGCTGCTTCTCCAAATTTTGGGAAAATTGAAAAATATTTTATCCAAAATTTTTCCAAGATTGAATTTTGAATTTATCTTTTGCATTTGAAATCTATTTTATATCTACTGTTTGATTTTGCAATAACTCTGGCAGTAAAGCAACATTAACACTGAATGGACTGTGAGTAATTTATGAATGGAATTGCCAGAAAAGTTGTCTGCTTGCATCAACAGAGGCACAATGTTGAGATCAGAAAAAGTAACAATACTGTTCTATGCTGCACCTGGGAACTCCTTCCATGACGTTTTGTAAAACCAGTGCTCTTGTCATGGCCAAGAGTATTCTACCCTTAACAAACCACTGGAGAATTTCTTTCTTCTGAAGACAGTCAGAGTTACTGTCCACTCAATTTCATTGCCCACAGATTAAGTGGGGAATTTTGAAGGGCTATTTATGTCTAGTTTGGTCAGCTATGTAAACTAGTGAAAGTGTTTTAATCCAAGAATTTTGTCTGCAACGTGAACTCCCGTGTGCCTAATTAACAGATAGTGGAAAAAGTCACTGCTGAAAAAGCTGCTCTCCAGGATGACTAGTATTGACAAATCTGATATAATCCGCCATTCATTTATTTGAAATGAGCATTTGTACTCCAAACAACACTCAGATAAACAGCCCCAGAACACAAATTCAAGAATGGAAGTGTTTAGTGTCGTTCTTTTACTGAACCTGAAAAGCTAATGAAAACCTGAGCCCATTTCTACTTGGATGGGTAAGTACCATGAAATCTCATGACTAAAGGCTAGTAAGAACACATTCTGGAAGAGAAAAGGACAACTTCCATATTGTTACAAGAAAACTACATGGCTTTGTCCATGAAGTAACAGGGAATTGAGCTCAATTTGAAGGACATTTTACTTTTGAATCAGATTCAGTTTTGAATCAGATTCACCTCCTAATGACTATATGAGCAAATGCTTTCCATCTTGACCTATTTTTAACAATAATTCTAAAAAGAGATTCAATCCAGGGCATCTATTTCTATTCATATATTATGTTTATTTGAAAGGGAAAAGTACCCTGGAGATTATATAAGACACTGTCTTCTAGTATGTTTGGTGAATGGTTCATTTAGCTAAATATTCCTTGGTAAATAACACCCGGTACAATCTCATGTAGAGGACTCCTATCAATTTACAACACTGAGATTCCTAAATTCTAGAGCATCTTTTGTTTTAGCATTTTATTTTATTTATTTTATTCATTAATTTTTTATGCTACACATCTCCCCTATAAGGTGATTCTTGAAAAATAAAGTTATGGGGGTTTTTTTATGTCTAATATACCTTCAACAACAGACAC